TTATTGACTACCTTCTCAAAGGGCAGACTATATTGAATCCATACTATGCAAGCCTGTTAGATAAAATAGCCGACAAAAATCGTGAAAAACGATTGGGATAGGTACAAAGGAATATCCTTTATCGGTATCTGAAATTAGCGAAGTCAAATGTACTACCAGATTTAAATAAAGTTATTACTTTAATATTATATTACGAGATTAAGGTTCGTGACAATAAAAACTGCCGATTCAATTACCAAAATTTACACTTTAATTACTGAACATCTACTAAAACTTAAAATATACTAATAATTAATCACACTGATTCACTTTGTTTCGCTCCGAAGCTTCGCTTGTATCGCAAAATTCAATACTGCCCCGATCGTGGCTTACAGCGGCTTTAAATACACCTTTTCACCTTCCGGCGAATACCGGTCCCGACCAACTAATTGCGGAAAGTTTGAGCGTGGACCCTTCTAGAAAGCTTAATTATTCTGTTCGATACTAGATGGCGCTTTTGGTGGAAAGTTCAAGATTGACATTTTCTAGGAAGCCCTCCTCGCTCTGTTCCCCGACACTAGATGGCGCTAGTGCCAGGTACCAGACATCAACTTAGGCGCGCAACATTATGTTTCGTTAAATCAGGAAACACATCAGATTCGATACTAGTATTAAAATAATAGCAAGATGCAATGCAATTGCATGCAATTAAACCTATTATGCACGCAATAACTATAACAGAAATTTCCCATAAATCTGCGGTTTTCTTTATATAAGGGTTTTAAAATATTTTACAATATCTTGTGGTAATACTTTTTCAACCCTAAATTTATTAAAACTGGTATTAACGTTCTGTTTGAGTAATGAATCGGCGACAGTTGGAGAACTATTCAATTATTTTATTGTCAAAATAGGAATTTCAGTGAAATATTTCTCAAACTCCGTTGCGACTTCTTGATTTTATCTAGTCAATTCATTATTAATTTTCAATTGATGATTTGTGTAACGAGTTTTGTTTTTACGTGTTTCGCTATTGATTATACTCCACGTCATTTTAATTTTATTTAGTTGTCTTAATGTTATTGCTAATATGTAAAGATTTGGCTGTGGAGCACACTCTTTTAAACATTTTAGAATAATTTTCAACATATTCTTTAAAATTATCGGAAAGATTATATGGTCTTTCATGGTAAAGTTCATATAATCTTCGCCTGTTCTTATGAATTCCTATAGTCACCTACTTGTTAAATGCCTTGCGACTGTTACTGGGGAATATTTTGGAAGTAAATGTTTTTTTTTAAATTCATTGCTTATAAGGGAAAACAATTCTCCATATAAATAGTCTGTATTGTTATTTTATGAAAATAATTGAAGGTTTTTTACCATATTACTTCTAATTCTCTCCAGGCGTTTTGCATTAATCAGAAGAAACAAAATTTTCTCAATTTCCTGTTTTTTTTGTGCATATATGGTAATGAAAACTATTGTCCATAGTGATCTAAACTTTTCAATTTGCCACGCCCGTGTGATGTACGACAAAATTCATCCACTTTATTTTTAATTTCGTTAAGGGTGGGGCCTATTAAAATTCCTGAACCCTCGGTCCAAATTTCCATTTAAATTTTTCTCATCAATGATAAAGACCTTGTGAAAATTTTGCCCGTTAAATGAACCGGTCCTTTTGAAATTTTAAATCACGTCTTATATAGGCCTTTAGACGCAAAATGTTTCGAATAAAAACCTTGTTAAGATCTATATACATTGAACGCTTGGTGAAAGTTAAGAAGACGAATATACTATAACTGTAATTTGCTTATAAAAAAACGGAGACTAAATATAATAAGTATGCTGCACGCCGCAATCATTTTGTCGCCAATTCGATTCTTCTTAATACATATTGCAGTCATAGATTTTTGTATTCCTTGTCTCTAACCTTTATAACAAATTGCATCAGAAATTATTCCTACACTCATTAAATCACTTAAAATTTAAATGAATTCTGAAAGAATGCCTTTTAAACAAAATGAAACTGAAACTGTTTTCTTGAGTTTCTGAAATTAACTTTCTACTGTATGCTTCATTTATTTACACTCTCGCACACACTCTTCACATACTACTCACTTATTCACACTAACTCGTGCGCGAGCGTACGCACCCATGATTTCTCGCATCCACATCTATATTTATACATTTTTACCTTAAAAGCTTAGTTATTATCGTCAACCAACAGAGGCCTGGTACTCTGAAATTCAGGTTTTAATTACCAATGTCGGGCAACAGTGAACCACATTAAGTTTAGTATTAAGACATTTTTGTAGTTTTACGGTGAGAAATAAATAAATTTTGACACACAGACACACACACACACACACACACACACCACGCACACACACGCACACGCGCGCACGCGCACGCGCACGCACACGCGCACACGCACACGCACACGCACACGCACACGCACACGCACACGCACACGCACACGACCACACGCACACGCACACGCACACGCACACGCACACGCACATGCACACGCACACGCACACGCACACGCACACGCACACGCACACGCACACGCACACGCACACGCACACGCACACGCACACCACACGCACACGCACACACACGCACACGCACACGCACACGCACACGCACACGCACACGCACACGCACACGCACACGCACACGCACACGCACACCACGCACACGCCAACGCACACGCACACGCACAGGCACACGCACACGCACATGCACACGCACACGCACACGCACACGCACACGCACACGCACACGCACACGCACACGCACACGCACACGCACACGCACACGCACACGCACTCGCACACGCACACGTACACGCACCCGCACACGCACTCGCACACGCATACGCACACGCGCACACACACACACACACACACACACACACACACACACACACACACACACACACACACACCACACACACACACACACACACACACACACACACACACACTATTCGTCACACACACGCTATTCGTCACACACACGCTATTCGTAACACACACATTGTCACTACGAATGACGGTATGAGTATGACGAAATACTCTTTACGTAACGGGATAAATAGATTGAATAAAACTAAATTTACGGATTTTATCGCGTTTATAATATCATAAACGCGATAAAATCCGTAAATTTAGGTTTATTCAATGTGTAGTGTTCGAGTAAATTTAAGAAATCATTATGGGATAAATAGATACAAAACCGTGCCAAGCCCTTAATTCGTTAAGTTATTTTGGAAGTTTTGAGCTATGAAGTTGAAGTCAATTCAATGTCATTCTTTTGCAATTTGATTTTAACAGAAGTCATAAAACGAGGAACTTCTGTAATAGTTGCGTGTGTTTTTATATACGCTCGTTCATGTCTCGGAACCGGCTGAATCGATTTAAATATTTTTTTTTGTATTTAATAATTATTTAATATTTATAACCATTTAATAGTTTAGAAAAATGATACTTCATGGTGCTTCCATGTAAATTTGAAGAAAAAAAACTTGTATTTGTGATATTCTTTATAATATATACAACTTTATAAGACAAAAATGAACTTTTACATACCATAACGTAACTATAAATAATATAACATAGCATAACATGAAAACATAACATTAACACTCACACTTGTCACTAAGAAGGGTAGGTAGAAACTACGGGCCTACATTTAATACGATCCTGACACATCTCTGTCGTCTCTCTTTTACGTCCATGCATCCAGACACATGCTCGTCGGTTATGGTTACTCTTTCTTTTGCCCATTTTCAATATATCGTCCAATTTGATCGATACACTTACGGCTAGGGCTTCGCGAGGGATTTTTTTTGAGATACCATTTTTACTGAACTTTTTAATATAAATTTGCTTTGTCACTATTTCCTCATTCATTCCTTGTACATGAACAAACTAATGAAGTATTCTTTTTTTAATTTTGATCTCTAAATCTAACAAACCACACTTTTTTCTTATCATCCAATTTTTCACCCTGTCATTAAATCACTCCTAACTCCATTATGACCGCATTTCTTCATCATTTATTCTATACTCTCGTGCATTTAGTAACAAAAAGTTAAAGTCGACTCGAAAAACTAAAAAGGATAAAATAACTTACACATAATTGCTTCTGAAGTCGAGGTTTTAACTATTCTATAGACTTTGTCACTGATATTGGGACTTGGTGCTCTAGCTATATTATGGCTGAAGTACGAATGGATCGCCTCGAGCAGGACAGAACATCGCTCTCAGAGAACAACACCGTAAAATAGCAGCTTAATGCTGTTGTTGCTTTTAGTATGGCACGTGTTACTGTAAACGAGGCGTTCTATCTTGGTGCTTAGGTATGACAACGCATCTGCATTGTGATTCTTATTAAGGATAAATGTAGATATCTATGGGCCACAACATTCACTTACCATCCGATGAACTGCGTGCTCGTTTTTCACCTATCTTTATATATAAAAATTACGCGTCACATTGTTTGTCCGCCATGAACTCTTAAACTACTGAACTAGTTTCAATGAAATTTTGTAAATGTATATTGCTTACTCCAATATAAGATATATGATAGTTTTATCTTCATAAGTTACCCTCAATATTCTTTATTGCCATTTAAAGTACTTTATTTAGGACTAAGGGTCGTTGGAATACGCAGAACAACGTCTGCCTGGCCAGATAGTATTCTATAAAAAAGACTTTTTTTATAGAATATTATTATGTTTATATAAATTATTATAAATTTAAATTATTGTGTTTAGTTTTTTATGTCGGTTTAAACTATCCATTAAAATTTTAGTTTTTATAGACCACGACTTTTGCTGCAATTATTTACCACACGAAAGTCGAAATCTTAGTACAGATTGAGATCTTGTTAGCGCAGTGGCTAAGCGTTTAGCTACGGTGCTGCGGGGCTGTTTCTTTAATTACTACTTTTAAAACAGTTAAAAGAGATAAACTAAAATTGTTCAAATGAATATTACAAGTTTTAATTACCTTGAGCTGGCGCGTAGATATTCAGATAGAGACAATCCTCGGACTGATTTGTCAGAAAGGGCAATATCCTCTTCAAGTAATCTAATCTCCCTCTCGATATCCTTTTCAAGACCGCTGTTTCGTTTCTTATATCAGGGAGCACTTGTGGGCAAACTGGGCTAAATTCTTCAGCAATTTTGACACCAGACCATTGAGCACCTGATACTGGAGGCATAAATCTTAAAGACCCAACGGGAGGAGACGCATAAGGCACTCCACGGAACACTTCAACTGGCTCAAGGAATCGGGATTCTGGAGTCATTATAAAGCCTCGTATATCTCCATACTTAGTTCGAACTACTCTAGAGCTAATCAGCGGTGGCGTTTTATCATCCATTGCTGTCTCGCCTTTTACAGGTCTCCAAGTTAGTACAGGTAGTGTAACAAAATGTACAATCACTAGTATTAACATTTTTCCGCTTCCACCGCCACCGTATGAGGTATTGTTCGCGGTTTCTCGGTGCTATAAGTCGACCATTTTTTCGCTTTTTATGTTTTGTTCGAACCATTTACTGGCTGTTCTGAAACAAAATTAACCATATTAAAATCTTAGCTTTAATATTTTAAAACGTGTTTTTGTCGTTTAGTGTGACTTTAGATAATCTACTACCCCAAATAATCCTGAAAGTGTCATAAGAGGTGAGAAAGAGAAACTGAAACAGGGAGTAGTATCTTCCTGATAACAACTGATAATAATAAAAACAGTTTGTAAATCCGCCTGCCAAGACTAGAGCAAATTCCCACCTATGAAGCAATTTAAGGGGAGGATTATATTTATCAGTGGACTTTTAATAGTCTGTAATAAATGGATGCATCATTAAATTATTTTAAATGACTCTATGACAAATATTTGTAAGTGTTGACTTCGAATCCCCTAAAATAGTATTTTAAATACCTACATTTGAAGTTGTTGAAATTATGATATTAAATTGAAAGTACCTGCTTTTACTGCGTGATAAAATCCATAACGAATATATCGTTATGAGACAGCTCAGCAGATCAGTAGGTTCAAGTGGCAATGGACTGGCTATCTTGAAGAACGTAAAACCATTGGGGAAGAAAGTTCTCCAGTAGCATGCAATATTGGGCAATATCTCACTACGTAGGTGACTACCTTATAAAACATGCAGATAATCGATGGATGGGTCTTTATGAATCACCTGCACCCGTCGATACCCTGCACTGTCTTGGTGCCTTGTAACAATCTTCGGATAACAGTGAACTTGTATGTAGTTTCATTTTTTAAACAAATGATTAAAAAACACTGTTAGATTCTATACTATAAATTATAACTGTTTAGAAGAGAATTTATAAAAAAAATTGTTTTTTTATAGAATAGTGGTGACAAGCACATGATTCACATGGTGGTAAGTGGATGCCGCGGCTCATAGACATCAATATCTATTCTTGATTGAGAATCAAAATACAGGACTAAATGAAATGCCAATAAAAGAAGTCTTCAGTTTTCTGTACTCACCATGCGATACAGCATTGTCCTTCTGTTTACACTTCTGTGGTTGGTATTCTATGAGTTCGTTGCCAACCCCGTTTGAGTCGACCCATTCAGCATATCTCTACCAAGTAAATTATTAATAGTACAGTATGTACAGTATTTTACAATAAAAAATCTAGGCCTTATCCTAATTGGTCGGTACGACAATTATATAATGTCCTCCAGGCTGAATTTTTATGACGGCTGCTAGTCTTAACGAATACTGGCCCATCTGCACAGGACAGGATTAAAGTGCCCGAATGTATGCGCAAGCACGAGTGTATACGCATATAAAGGTGCACTCTTTATTCCTTCACTCTCATTGTCCAATGGGACAGTATTTCGACACGACCGGGGAGAGATCACGCGCAGGACTAACGGCTTTACGTGCTTTCCGAGGCACGAAAGTGACACACCACCAACTTCCTGATCTTGGTCTGCTACTGAGAATTTAGTAATAAAAGAACTCAATGGCTAAATTTGGTCTGACTTGGGATTCGAAGCAAAGATCTCATGATCAGCAACCGTGTTTATGACCACTAGACCAACGATGCAGTCTTTACACTTACCAATATACAATGCAATACAACATTATTTTGCTGTTTCACAATAGTTATTCTGGTTGTTGGTATTCTTTGTAAACGTGCCCATATCTAGTGGGGTCGACCAATACAGCCTACTAAGTAAAAAATATTTTTTAATCAAAAATTGGTTTAGATATTTGTAATTTTTACGTATTTTATCGCGTATAATAATTTATATTAAATTCCAACATTTCGTGTACTTTAGGTTTTCGTGTACTTGGTCACGGGGGGGGGGCTGAGGTGTTCGACATCCCAATATCATAGTTTATTTTACCACGACCATTTTCAGTTTAAAGTAATTAATTTTTACTCCGATCAACGCAGAAATTACTCGAAACGTCGGGAATTTAAATTAAAATAATTTAGGCGATATAATTCATAAAAATTATTAGCATCAAAACCGATCATAGTTAAAAAAAGTTTAGAAAATCCAAAAGTGCACGCCTCATAATCTCATTTGATTATATAAAAAGAAAAATATCTATTTTTCTATATTATTATAGAGATCCATTAGAACATTTTTTCTAGAAAAGTTTCAGTTGTTTTTTAAATTTTCATTAATTACAATTAAACGAGACCAAATTACTCAGTGACTTTTAAAAGGAACTGTGCGTTGAGATTTTAAACCTAATAAAGAAAGAAATATTTTGATACATTAATTCTAACGTCCGTAATTGCGCGCCATTCACACATACAGACTTCCGGACACCCTTGAATTTTTAATTTCAATCAGTTTGTTTTTACAATAAATACATAAAATTACTTTTATGAAGAATAGAAACATGAAAATGAGTGATTTTTATCGATATATGTATATTTATTATTCTAAATGTGCAATAGTATAAAAATATATACATTTTTAGCTCAGAAAATTACTGGATTTCCATTAGGTGAGTGTAGAGCACAAACTCAACGCTTCGCTTATGAGGCGTGCAAAATTACTTTAATTGGTAGGCTGCTCATTTAAATTTGTAGTGTTCGCAGAAACTTAGAAAATCACAAAAGTGGTTTTCTGCAGGATATATAACAGTAACACATTTTGGCGTTTTTCTAATTGGCAGGTAATACAATCATACAACGTTCTCTCAATATTTCGAGTCGAAGGAACATTAAATCATAAACACTAATTATACGGCACGTCGCTGTTATGATATACAACACGATCTCGACATATCACTTTGCGATATCACACAATTTAGTCAGATCGTCAGTTATCGTACACTGTCTGCCAGAATATAATTAGCAGTTATAAATAATTTACTGATATGTTAGATTTTTATGTGCTTTTGTTTGCCTCTAAATTCTTCTTCTCTTTGTTCGAAATCGCAATTAAAAAGAATCGCAACATTAGCATTCAACATATGTTCGATTCTCTTTTTTACAATTCTTTTTGCAAAATAATATCTAAAAACGTACTTATTTTTTCATGTTACTTATTTGAGTGGTGTATAATATAATTAAGTGTTGCATAGTATAGTGTGTTCGCCGTTTGGTATCATTGCAATAATATCCACTACCCTATAGTGGTCGTGAAAATAAACAGGGGGTAACTGAAACAGGAAATGGGAAGCAGCAACATAGAACGGATATCATCATCATCATCATCATTACAGCCTTTTACAAGTCCACTGCTGAACATAGGCCTCCCCCAAGTAATGCCACAAAGCAAGGTCCTGAGCCACCTGCATACATCGACTTTCTGTATTTGAGCAACAAAATAAATATCTAACTGTCAGTTAAGTTTTAACAATAAATTAATTGAATAAGATCAGGACGTTGCAATGGTTTTCGAGAAATATTTTACTGATATTCCTATCTTAACCACTAGTCACTGAATTCTTCTCGTGACGTCGCCGAATCATTACTTAAACAAAATGTAAATGCCTGTAAAAAGAATTCTACATTTCATAAAGTGTCATCAAAAGATATTCTAAAATATTTTAAGACTATTGATATTAAGAAAACCGCCGATCTGTGGTGGATTTCCGTTAAAGTTATTGCGTCCATATTAGATGCAATCGCACCTCAACTATTATTTTTAATACTAGTATCAAATCTAGTGTGTTTCCTGATTTAATGAAGCATAGTAAAGTAATACCTTTATTTAAATCTGGCAGTACATTGGAACCCACTAATTTAAGACCTATTTATATACTGCCAACACTTAGCAAAATTTTTGAAAATATTCTTGATCAAATGTAAATTTTTTTAATGTAAATAATTTACTTCATAAAAATCAATTCGGTTTCAAAAGGGGTCGCTCAACAACTGACGCTGGTGTTGAGCTTATTAAATATATCTTTAATGCGTGGGAGAATTCACAGGATGCTTTGGGTATATTCTGTGACCTATCCAAGGCCTTCGATCGTGTTCACCATGAAACAGGAATATCATCAGGAAACTTCAACACTACGGTGTAAGAAGTGATGCTCTTAAATTAATTATTTCATATTTAAGTGACAGAACGCAAAAATTGTAATTAATAGTATGAGTTCTTCCGGGTCGACTCTACAAATGGGCGTGCCTCAGGGCTCAGTTCTCGGCCCCTTTCTGTTTCTTGTATATATTTATGACTTACCTTACATAGTAGGAGATAACCATGATATAGTTTTATTTGCTGATGATGCTTCATTAATTTTCATATTAAAACGGCAGTTATTAAATTACGACGAAGTAAATAATGCTATAGCTAAGGTAGTCAATTGGTTTAATGTTAATAATTTGCATTTAAATGGAACTAAAACTAAATGTATGAAATTCGTAACTCCTAATGTCAAACATGTTAGTACGAATGTAATTTTAAATGGGGAAGAACTGAGTCTTGTTGATACCACCATTTTTCTTGGAATCACACTAGATGCAAAGCTTCAATGGCTCCCCATATATCAAAACTAGCTAGCAGACTTAGTTCTGCAGCATATGCTGTAAAAAAGATTAGAACTCTTACCAGTGCTGAAACAGAAAGAATAGTTTACTTTAGTTATTTCCATAGCATTATGTTGTATGTATTTTGCTATGGGGACACGCGACTGACACTGAAATTATATTTATTTTACAGAAGAGAGCCATTAGAGCAATATATAATTTAAAATCAAAAGAGTCACTGAGACAAAAATTTAAGGAAATTAATATATTAACTCTGACCTCTCAATATATTTATGAAAATGTAATGTACGTACACAAGAATAAACGTAGTTTTGCAAAAATAAGTGATATTCATTCTGTAAATACTAGGAACAGACATAAGCTAGTAGTACCAGT